CGGGGCGGGGGCGCCCTTGTGTCCTGCGGCCATCGTCTCCAGCATGGCTGGCTCCGAGCCTCCCTGGGCAGGGAGTGCCGGTACCCACCCTGCAGGTGCGGCACTCAGCACCACCTCTGCCCACGGTACAGCACCCAGCAGCTCCATCGGGGCAGAAAGCACCACACGCTGCTGGGAGCGGACTCCGGGCTGGACTAGGGCTCCCTAAACTAAGGCAGAAGAGACCTGGCAGCTCCAGCTCCTGCCCTGAAGGGAGAACTGTAGTTCATGATGCAAGCGCAAGATACTATAGAGGGAAGTTCAGCTTCAAACCATATTCCCAAATCAGCTTCGCATTTCTGCTGCAGGTATCAGTGCAGCAGGTAACAACATCAGCCTGGAAAATGAACTGCTTTATAAAGCACAGCCCCTGAAAAGAGGAGGTAGACTGCTGGCTTGCTGAAAATGCTGTGGATCCCAAAGAACAGACTGGAGCCGGTTGCAGCCCACATGCTCCCTCTACATGCACACGGCGCTTTGAGAAACCAGCGCTCAAAAATGGAAAGTTACCTTCTGCGGAAAGCAACGGGAGCAGCTGAGAGCAGGTGGCCGGGGCAACGCACAAAGTCTCCTTTGTGCAGGCTCCTGCCAGCGGCGCAGTCCCCAAATTGCCTCACGCCTGCCCACTGCTCGCACGCCCTGTGTCGAGCTGTCAGCGCGGCCCGGCCGGCATTCCCCAGCAAGGGTAGGGCAGGGTGGATGCGGTTTAGCCACAGACCACACCACCACAGGAAACCATTAATTTAACGATGGTCCTTGCCTATTACCCAGTTTGCCCACTGCACAATAGCAGCATAAAATATTAACAAGCCTTTGGGTCCACAGCTCTTCTTTACGGTCCTTCTTCTATCGAGGCAAGAGTCCTTCAGCACAGCAAGGAGCAGTTTGCATTTAACAAACCTGAGCAAATATTATTTGCTCAGTCGTATTTACATTATCCTCCATTCATTTGTGCAAACACTGCAAGTGGTTTAGCAGGTCTTGTAGCCAAAGGTTTCTGCAAGCAACAAGCAGAGTTGTCCCAAACCTCAGCCCTTGGGGACCGCTGTTATTCACTAGGTTTGCAAGGGTCTACACCAGGACACAGCCTGTCCAGCAAAGAGGCTCACAGAGACCCAGCCGGCAGGAAAGGGCTGAGAATGCAAAAGCAAACTCAGGTAAGTGCAACAAGAACTAAGAATTCAAAATGCTTTGAAAGCAGAAAAACAGAATAGAAAAAAAAATATGTTAAAACTTCAATAAAGTACACCTTCAATTCAAAAACTTCAATTTGACAGGTAATTTGACAGATAATAGCTTCACACAAGACAGGATAAAAAGAAATGGGCGTTTCTGAGCAAATAAGTCCCTAAAGTACTCTAAGGGACCAAAAGCGGAAATGATCCCTCCAAAGAGGGTGGGGAAATCTGATCAGAGAAACAGATTTGGTTAGGGCACAGCCCCTTCAGGAAACAAAGACAAAAATCATCTGCTCCAATAGAAACAGATTACATAGGCTCTCCTGAGAATCTACTTTCCGCTATGGTACACTGACTTAAAGTACCATTGATCATGTTCATTCAGTGTTAATTATGCTTTAGTTGTACAGGTGGCAGGGAAGTATCTTCCCTCCAGTGATGTAATTAAGACCTTGAGAGCAGGGACTCCCAGGGAAACAGGAGCTGAGGAAAGAGCTCTGCTGTCGAGGACCCTCTGCATACTCAGTGCTGTACAGGACAAGCAGACAAAGGGTCACAAAGCCAAAACCGGCGTGGTTGCACACCCCACATCTGCGGTGGCTTCGCTCAGCAGTTGCTTTCATCTCTCCATCCCCACTTAAGGCCTGGAAAGTACAAAATTACAAGACAGCAATTCCTTTTTTAGTATGAGAGACCAGCATCATCTGTTACTCTGCTTCACCACCTAAAAACAAAGCACAATTTGTCTTTCCAAGCCTTTCCAGTCCTATCATTACTCCCAGTGCTACGTTAGCAATGAAGAGCGCTGACCCAAGTGCACAAACATTTTCTCAGCAGGGTGACCAAGGAGTACACCTCATTTAAGTCTGACCCCAAGTAAATACAGTCTTTCTAGCATCAAATACTAACGTACACATTAAAAACTGCTATTATGACACTTCTGCAACTAGGTCAGTGAGACAAAACATGACACCATATAGGAAGTAAAATCTCAAATATATTTAAGGACAAATTAGCACCAGATTTTTGGCCAGTCACATGGAGCTAATGTTTTAAAATACCAATGGGAGGTCACACAGAAAAACAACTGGTACCAGCTCAGCGTGAAGGACATCAAAGCAGCATTTTCCTTGCATGGTGTGCCGTGCTCTGCTCTGCCTTCAGCTGGGAAGATAAAGAGTGGTTTCAGTACCAATTCTACAGAATAGGGCTGGTATAGCAGAGAAGAAAGACAGCATTAAAGATTCTTTTACCTCATTTTTCACCACACTTAAGTGTTCTGTCAAATCAACAAACAAGCTTGAAAAAAGAAAAGGGGGTGTGTGATAGGCAATAGTGTCTCAAAATGTAACAAACATCACTCATTGAGATTCAACTGTTTAAAGATTTTAGTCAGTTTTACAGGGCTTACTTTGATCCCAACATATATAAAATACATCCTTTATGGAAGGGAAAAAAAAAAAAAAAACAACAAAAAACCCAATCATTCCTGCATGGCTCCATCCGCTCCCATTGAAAGGACGTTTCAGCAGCAGTCAAGTGCCTGGGCTGGCTTCCAGTTAACACGAATGGCCAGGTCCCTCTTGTTCTCAGAGGGGATGAGCTCCAACTATCAGAGCCCCCTCTTCTCCCCTGCGCAGGCCAATCCATAGCACGGAGCTCCCACGTGAGCTAGTGATGCCCACTTATCCTTCCCCGCCCCCCCCTCAGTTCAGGTCTGCAGGACAGTGCATTCCCTGCCCTGGAAATGCCAGATACCAGTGCCAGAGCTAAGCCTCCAGGTGCTTAGTGATCCTGCGAATTTTCTCCTTCTTGTTCCTGTTTCCGTGTTTTTTCCAAGGCTTTCCTACCACATTCCCAGGATTGGGTGTAGTCACAGGTACAAGCCCGCTGCCAGGCCGGTATCCCATTGCAGCCCGGACCCCTTTCATCAGGGCACGAACGTTCTCCTGGAAGAGGAGACATAATCACCAGTGACCGATGAGAAGATATTTGGCGACAAGCAACTGTGATATGTTAATAAAACCAGATACAGGCAAGCTCAAACCCACCAAGACCTGCTCAGCCCCCAGCTCCAGAGCTGCAGAAAAGGTCACGGCACGCAGCCGAGCCAAAGCCTGCCAGCACGCTCCAGTTCTGTCTGCAGCCATGCCTCGCTGCGCCAGGTCTACCGCTGCAAGCGGAGGCGGTACGCTGACGAGACACTGAGCTCCGACAGACATGAGCTATGGCGCTAGGATCGATTCTCACAGTCGCTGCTTTGCACACAACAAATTCTCTTTGCAAATAAATCTGGCATCTGTGAAAGCCAGAGACTAAAATAACTTGCTCAAGTCTGGAGCGTGGGTAGCGCTGCCGGGGCTCACAGCTCGTGCCAGCACTTTGAGCAGCCAGAGGAAGAGTCTGGTAATCCCAAAAATTCTTTTCAGGTCGTCATTTTCCAAAACAGCTCAGTGTTTTTTGAAAAGAGCCCGAGTTCTTGTTTTCAAAATGCGTGATTATCTTTAGCTGCGCTGAAACAAATACTGTTCATCTCCAGCTAACCAAGCAGAATGGGTCATGCTATCTACAACCCATCCTCTTCATTGCTCAATGCCTTGTTCTGATCCTTGTCAGGTGCGCAGACTTAATTAATTATGGATTTTACATTTCCTTATGAGTCATTAATAATTTTTTTCAGTAGTATAGGGGCAAAACAGATCCCTGTGGGACATAACAAGAAGCCTACAAGTTAAGAAAAATTCCCATTTTCCACTTAATTTTGAGATTTTTCAATTAGATTTTAGAATTAGATTAGTTTGTGTTCTTTTCATCTGATTTCAGGTTCAGAGTCAAAACAACCATGTAATACTGAATCAATTATCTTAAAAAAAGCTTATCGTGACCCCTAAATATATCATCTCAAGAAAGGAAAGTTAGTTTGAAGGACCTGTTAGTCCAAAACCATGTTCCTGATCGGCTGCTGTGTCACACCACCCACCTTCCTTGTCTGTCTTCCTGTTTGCTCAAGATTGATGTTAGGCCCATAATGATGAGGGTCACCCTGTTGACGTTTTAAAAAAAATCAACTATGTGTACCTCATTAGCTATCTTTCAGTCACCTAGCACATTCCCAGTGATTTAGGAGATAATAAAAAGAACAGAGCGCTCTTGGGCAGAAATTATGTGCAGATGCGAACGGTATCTAACACCATTAACTCAACCCAGCACCCCTCCATCCTTAAAGCTATTTTCTCCAGTAACTATGACACACCGGTGCTGCTGTAAAAGCTCCCAGAATAAATCTCCTCCAGAACTTACCTGGTGGAAAAATGTTTTGTCCACCACATTTTCAATTTGTTTTGCTTTGGTATTCTTCTCAAGCTTCACCTGTCCACTGGCCTGCACGGTTCTGCTCTCTGGGCATCTTTGATGCTGGTGCTGAAAGTCATTTGGGTCAATGCCAGGAGGCGGATGGCAATATAACAGCTTGCCCTGCAAAAGCAATGGGATTCAGTTTTTACCAAAAAAACCAAAACCAAACCAAAAACCAACTCAGAGAGAGACACAGAGAGGAAAGAAAACAACCCCAAAGCTAAGGAGGGCCCTGGAAGCCCAGGGGCTCACACTGGCAGAATAACTACCAGTACAGCTGATTTCTCCTCCCAGGCAACAACTGGCTTGACTTTAAAGCACCATTCTACCTCTACTTCAAAGCACCATTTCCAGCTGCAAACAATACAGCGCAAAACTCTCAGGGGTATGGGAGGATCCTGTTAAGAAATACTCAACAGTAAGTTGCGGAGAGGTTCTGTAGCAGCACGCAGTATTACCACGCTCATAACTGCAGTCCTTAGCACCAAATACTGATCCAACTATACAAAATGGATTTGTTTCCTGAATATCTGCTGCACGTTCTAGAGATATGATAATTTATTTAGGTAGCACCTTATTTTTAAGCAATCATCTTTTTAAGAGTAAGCAGCAGAAGAAATTTCATTTATTCCTTGAAAATATAAAAATAGCCCGATTTAAAGAGTATTTTAACATATGTTAATTTTATCCAGAGAAATAGAATTAATTTTATTGTCCTCCTTCCTGCTCCAGTGAAACCTTCAATTCACCTCCTAGCAGGTAAGAAAACCCAGATGTGGGAAGCACTTACACTGACATAGTCTTTTAACACATATCGAGCTGATCTTGGCTGGTCTGGCTGTCCATGAGCTGTCATAAAGCCCCTCATATCTGGAAGACAAATCCAAAGTATATTCTGTGTCAGTACAACAAGAGCATTAACACATTCTTCCCTGCTGCCTAACTGCACATTTGCATCCTCTCTCCAAAAAAAAAAAAAAAAATTTCCCTTAGAAAGAGGTTTCAGTTGTGGAAAGCAAGAAGGAAAGGGGAACACTGCTAACCATAGGGAGGCTGCAGAAACATCCTAACCTGGAAGGAATTATGAGAGCTGACATCTCCCTACCACCACAAAACTTGATGGATTTTTGGTTTTGTTTTAAGGCCAGAGAAGATTAACTGCATCAGAGAATCAGACAAGGGAGATAATCTTTCACTGCATTCTTCAAAAATCTAGTTCAAGATACCGTTGATGGGAGGTAACTAAAAGGATGAGAGCACCACACCACACTACACAGACCGGCAGGGCATTTCACCAACATCCTTAACACAATCACTACATCTGTCGGATGAAACTGGCAAAGCACCACTGCAACACACATGTGAGATTAGCTGTTAACAAAGGCCCTTCCTGAGGAGAGGACAAGTCCTAACGGGGAGGTTCAACACATGACAAACCTGAGTCTGGCCTAACTTTAAGAAGTTTCCTTAAGGTTGCATTCAGGACCACGCACACAGTCTAGGCAACAGGTTTCAAAGGGATCATCACTCACATCCGTATGCTGTTAGCAGCTCTTCAGCTGTTGGCTTTCGATCTGGATCCTCATCTTCCCTTGGCCTTATGATATTTATTCCGTAGGTTGCTTCCAAAATGTTTCGTGGGATATGCTGGCAAACGTAAGCTAGTGAAGGAAACCACCTGGTGATTTTCAGCTACACAAGTAATCTTGCCCTAGTCACTCCAAGAGCACACATTAAGAATGACTTTGGATTTTGTTGCAAACCAGAAAAATGATGCAAGTCTGAGAACAAGATAAACTTGAAATGAGATGGGGAAAGACCAACACGACAGGGCTGTTTTATCCAATGTGCATCCCCACTGCCCTCAATGCGTGAGCACATGCGCCCCTAGCAGGGCTGGAACATGCTACATTGCATACTCCAGATCCAACACTTACACTCTCACAAACCCCATGCAAAGGATATTAGAGAAATGGGTGGGACATGGTCCCTCATCTGGTCTATAGGCAGAATTCCAGAACAAATCATTTCTGCCTTGGTAGAGATGAAAGATGGCATCACCAGACCAGGGCAATCACAGAGGCACAGGCCAGGTTCCACATACAGGGTCTACACAACAAATAATTGATGAGTTCACCAAGGCAAGTCAGTGTCCATGGAGGAAAAAGGAACAAAAAAATCCCGAACCAAATGCACAGATAAAACAAGGATGCAAATGGGAATAAGCAGAAATTCTCCTAACACAGACATGTGCCCTGCTGGCCCCTGCCAATGAATTAAGGAAATCTGATGTGGAAGACAGCAGCACTTCCAAGGTTCATAAATAAGGTGTCCAGATGGGGGCAGCAAGATCTTCAGCTCTCCAATCTGATGGGAGAGAAGAAAGCACTCCAGAAACCTTTAACTGCATTGGACCTTTTGAAACAGGTAGGAGATTGCACAAGTACAAATCCCACAATGCTCGTTATAGCATTGCAGTTACTACCTCAAAATCAAGAGCTTGACCAATATGAGACCAGCAGCGTAACTGGACTTGTTCACAGCAATGACTGTGGACAAGAAGGACTGTTTGAAAGTTTGACCTTAAGCTATTTAGAGGAGCACTGACTTTTCAGAGGTTCTCTCCTCGTGACTGGTGTTGAAAAAAAGAAGGGCCAAGCTACTTAAATAAAATTGGGAGATGGAAAATCTCTCCCATTGCACAGTGGCTCTCATAAGTGACTCTCAAACTGTAGAAAGAGTTTGCACACGAGAATTAAAATTCCAAAATCATATATATCAAGCCTACCCCTCTCCAACCTACTCTGCTGGGCAGAGTACAGGTTGGCACACAGAGTTCTCAGTGAGTCCACATGGCTGCAACTAGTTCATAATGAAGCACTCTTCCACTGGGTGGGGGGAATAATGAAGAGATCAATGCTCTTTGTTAGCAATACCTGAAAGTGCTTTGTACGGCCTGGTGTAGCAGACACTGACACCTTCTTATTTCCAAGGATGGTGTTGATGGTTGAACTTTTGCCAACATTAGGGTAACCCACCTAGATGACAGAGAAGTGGAATGGTAACTGATATTAGGCAGGGCAATGCCAGAAGACTGGCAGAGCTCTGAAACAGAAGTACTTTAATAAAATGTACTAAAAAAATTAAGGCAAGCCGTGGGGAATGCTGAGCTCCAGGAACTTCAGAATTAATCTTCACACAACATGCTTGGTGATTTGTGCTTGCTAGTTTTTTCTTTACCCTTACAGGAAGCCAGGCTACAGGATGAACTTCTCCCATGGAAGACATATGAAATTAAAATTTAGATTAAGAAAGTTCTGTTTAAGCACAAAGTCTAACTCACCAGCCCAACATTTACTTCCCCATCCTTCACCCTTGGTCCTTTGTGCATGGTTTTGAATATGTCCAGCAGCTCATTTCTCTGTACCAGGTGGCTGAAGTTCCTGATGTTCCTGTTCTGCTCCTGCACCACATGCTGCACTGCCGTACCATCAGTCCTGCTTTCCATCCTCTCTGGGGCAGTAGCATTTACTTTGTCCCCACCTTCATCTTCAGAACAGGTTTGCCAGGCCTCCTCTTCATCATCTTCACAGTCTTCATATTCATCATTGCTGTCATCATCACTAACTAGAACTTGGTTTACAGTTTGCAAAGCACTGCCTGTGGATGTGCTTTCTGCGCTATCTTGTGCTGTGTCATCTTCTGCTTGACCAGAGCTTTCATCCTCAGAATGACTCAGATCCTCTGCTCCATCTTCAGTGTCTAGCTCCTGCGTAAACAGTTATTTGATAGGTGAAATGCAAAGACAACAACAGTAAGTCTTGCTGGTGACTGCAGTGGCTGCAGCAGTCACCTATCTTTTTATTCGCCAGATCCCAGTGAATGATAATTCACTCCTTACATCACACAGGTTTTTTAGGGGTCTTAAGTACGAAGTAGAAACAACTAGCCAGTTTTAGGAGAATGACAAAAGTATTCCAAGAGGGATTGTTAGCTTCATTGTGAAGTTGTTAGAGGTTTATCTCCAGAATCACAACTGTGAACGTGAACACACCCACAGCATCCTTATACACAGCAGCAGCAGTGCCCAGGAAATATTTTTTTTAAGTTATCAAGTGTTCCTAGTAATAGGAATGAATGTAAGAAAGACCTTTTCATAACAGCAGTATCTTGAACTTTCCAAAAAAGAAAGCAGACATACCACTTCTAGTCTTACTTTTAAATCAATCTGTAAAAACATTTTATCCAAGAACTGTGAACCAGCTGAACAGATTAGGTATTTTTGAAAGAGATGTGGGATATTCCATAGCTGAATAGCCATGGCTGTAACAGATGAACCCAGTAAAACCAGAAAATGGGATTTACTGATAACATATTACACTGGAGGCAGCAGCAGAGTTTGTTCTACTGGTCAGACTGAGAGAGAAAAATCCTCTGTCCCCATGTGACCATGTCCCTCACAGCATCCCTCTTGGAAAGGATTCCAGTTCCTGCAACAAGTTCAGAGTTTGCAAACAGATCTACAAGGGCTGTTTCCGTAGCTATTAATCAGCAGCCTCAAGTAACCAAATTTACATTCTAGTTCAGTATTATTTACCAAGTCACTAACCTTGGAAGAGAAATTGCAAGGACCACAACGATTGACTGAAGGGTGTACTATTTTGTTCACCATTTTACTCTCCTCACTTTTGTCTCCGAATCAATCATTAAAATACTGGTTTACAGCCACACAGGTCCTTAGAATAATCCTTCCCTGAGAAAAGGCCTGTGCCTTTCCTAGAAAGGTGCTCAGGTATATCACAAGCATAACAGCAAAGCAAGTTATCCAAGGCAGTCAGCACATACCCAGTTGGAACTGGTCGTCTACAGTACCTTTGGTTCTCTGGATAGCCGTGTGCACTCTGCCAGAGCTGACCAGAACACCACCTTAACACCTTCTTTCTCAAAGAACTGTGCCCAAGCAGCCCGCTGTTCCTCACTCAGCAAATCTGCTTTGTTTATCAGGATCATGTTCTCCTTGTCATTGCTGACTTCCTTAACATAACTTTCCTGAAGAAAACAAGAGAAGGATCAGTTTGTACTCTGGTTTAGATGACTCCCCCCCCAAGGAGATATAAGACCAGCAAGGCAAGTTACTCCATCCAACTCCACATGACTGCAGCTAAGTTTACTGTCCCCTGGGCTAGATGGAACTGGTGTTTAGCAGACAGCTACAAGAACAAATTGGAGCATGCAACTACTGCAATATAGGTTGTTTCTGCCACGTGTGCAAACACCTTGTCTGCTTAAGAGCTATGACAAGATATTAATCAGCACCTCACAGCAGGAACTCCCAAGATTAACTATTTGAGCAATTTCGTATCTTATTGAGGCACAATGTTCCATAGTCTATCATTACAAAGCTGTCACTTCAATAATTCTTGATCCTCCACTTCAGCGCAGTAATCCTCACCCATTTTTATTCTACCATGCTTTTAAGCAGAACAATTCCTTTGAGTGTGGACGCTTCCAGTGGGTAATGATGAGCGATATAACAACTGCAATACAACATCTGTAGAACTGCCTCTGAATCCACAAGTGTGCAATATCAAAAAAAAATTGAAGAAAAATAATTTGATGCCAGACTACTTGCATAAATAAGACATCCAGTTAGGTACAACAGCAGAACAGCTTCAAGGTAGCTGAATGTGTTAAAAAATAAATCATATAAACTCTAAGAAATAAAATGAAGACAACATTCAAGAAAGTGGTTTACTTACCAGATCTTGGCATCTGAACAGAAGGGGGTTTCTAGCATCTACTATCTGGACTACAATATCACTGCAAAAATAAAAGAAAGCCCCATAAAGTACTATTTCTCACCTTGCCCCAAAGAAAGCAGCAAGGCACAGTACATACAAAACCTTGGGTTTAGGTTTTGCGTGGAATTTTAATGGTTTTAACAGTATTACCCTACTAAGTACCTTTACTGAATTAACAAAGCATCTCAGCATCCCACATGCCCCAACAGAACCATGCTTATGCTACAAGCCAGCATTGCTGTACAGTACATCTGCCTCGCTTGGCTAATTCTCCTGTACAGCCGCTAAAAAATGTGGTAACATAACTTTATTTCTGTCTATTCTCATCTCCAAACTGCAGCAGAGTGGCTACAGAGAGGAAGAAGAGGTGGTTTTCCTACAGTGAGGTATTCTGGAACACTGTTGTGCCCTTTGCATGGACCAAGACATACAAAGTCTCCCACAAATGACTTATAGATACCCAGCGTTTGCCGTCAGGCATTTTCAAAATTTATTTTGTGCTCTTCTTGTCACGAAGCACAGAACAGTGAAAGAATTAGACTCCAGTAAAACATGTTGTTCCCCCTCGCAAGCAAGGCCTTGCATGTGTGCTTTTAGGAAACATCTTCCAAATCCAGACACAAGGTTGCCACCACATATGGGAACAAGACTCATCAATTCTACACACAAATTAACTGTGCTGGCTTCAGATACCAGAGGCACCCATGTTCCTTTCTTCAAAAGGAGGGGGAAGTTAACTACACCCTCTTTCACTAGAACTTCGCCAGGGTGGTAATTTAACATACTAGTTGCCAGATATTGATTCTATTTGTTTGACAGGGATTTCTGTTAACTCAGGACAGCTTCCGAACACCATAGGTTAAATGGAAGAATTTCAAGCCTCACTAGGCAGTTGGTTACATATTTAAAAAAAAAATAAAATAAAAATCAATAAAACCCCCAAGGGACTCGTTCAATAAGCCACATGGGTACAAAGAGGTACTGAACAGTTACAGCAATTCAAAGATCAATATGAGAGAAAGCTGACACCATGCTACTAGGATGGGATACAGAGAAGTTACTGAATCACACTGCTGGGAGCTAGTTTGAAGCAAACACAAGAAAAGCCTGACAACAGATCAAATTATCTGGCAAGGTCAGGGACTGGTCGACTTTCCTATTTGATTCTGAGACAGCATCCTCACTCTACATGAAATAAAAAGCTCCAACAAGAGCAGAAAGGCACTAGTAACACATTCCAGCCACCTCAAAACACACAATACACTCATACTGCATATCATGATACCCTATAGTGGACGCTCCCAACCCAAATCTCTCCCGGCCAAAGACCCAGCAGCACCCAGTACAAAGCCACTTCTGTGAAAGCACCAGCTCACCATGACCTCACTGGTGAAGTATTTTTCAATTTTAGCAAAATCAGACGAGATGATCTCAAACTTAATTACTAGTGAAATTAAATGCCCCAGTTAGATTAATGTAGCAGATAGCACTCCTATTGTATTACAGTTCAGCAAAGCAAACAAAGCTACTTCTGTGATATGACAAGCTGTTGTCTTTTGTGCACTGCTGCAATTTCTCTGCATGGCAAAAGGCCAAGGACCAAGAGGCTCACTCTTTCTCAATGTTATTTAGTTGTTCTCCCTCGCCTCCTGCCCCTGAACGTCAGGCTGCAGCTGCACGGTTGAGAAAGAGCGAAAAGGGTTAAACTTGGCAAAAGACCTCAAAGACACATTCTCAAAAGAGGCCTCCCACACAGAGTTACTGGAAGAGGACAAGAACAGCAGCAGCTGAAGAATCATCAGAGGCTCAAAGCAAGCCACCTGCAGAATCACAGTGCTGAGAGCTAGCGCGTGCCACTAAGCAGCTGCCCTTCTCCACATCACATTTTGATCACTTCAAAACCAAATCACTTCAGTGCTGACAATGAAACAGTAACTGTAATTGGTTTTCCTGTGCTCAGACACTCAAAGGCTTCAATTCAGTAAAACACATTAAACATTACTTTTAAAAATCAGTGATATTCTTTACCTCCTTTCAATGACTCTCCAAAGCTGACGCCAAAATTCCAAGTTTCGTTCAAATGGGGTTAGAATTAACTTTTTTTCTTCTTCAAGACTAAGGCAAAATAGAGAAAAGACATCATACTTGACCCATTTCAGGCAAAAAGCCCACCACCAGCTCTTCCTCAGATCCAGGAGCCTTTAGTTTCAAAGACAGCTATCAAATCAGACTCATATAGCAGGTACTATTTCTGCCAGTTTTGCATCCAGGTAAACTGGTGTCAGTGACACACGTTCAGCAGTCACACAATGGCTCCTGACCATGCCAATGGAGAACTGGTAAGTGACAGAAAGAGCAAAAACTCATCAAAAGTCTGCCTGTGAAATTTCAGAGCCACAATCATAAACCAGGGAAGTTATCCCAAGTGCCAACAGTTATTACTCAAATACCACCTGGAAAACCTAATGAATTTGGGGATGGTACCTGACATGGCTCTTGGACTCACTGTTACCAGCGCCTGAGGGACTTTGCTCAGGGCAAGCATGGGTTCATACGGTGTGAGCAGATACCACCCAACTCTCCAGGCCAGCAGATGCAGTGCAGGACCAGTACAAGCTGCTGTACGCAGGCTGACAGCGCTGCACTCTATTCAGAGCAGCACTGTTGCTCTTAGAGGACACATTCACCACTCCTCCACTTCACAGGCAAGAACAGAACACCACACTCCATCCCGAAGAATTTTAACTGTAAGCAGTACAAAACCATGCACATACAAGACAGCTGTGCAGAGCTTACCACAAAAACATGTCTGGATTGTGGCTGCGCTGTCCGACCTCCCAGAACAAATACAGGGAGCCGCTGACAAGCCATTACTTTTATAGGTCCAGCAAGGATAAATATAACCCACTGCTTCCTGTGTCTCCAGATGCCACCAGCTACTTACCCAGACAAGTGGCATACTCACTGGGCAAGCTGTCGCCTCCATTCAAGAAAGCTCTCCCTCTCAGCTTGCTTCAAGTCCTCTGCACTGGTTGTCCTATCCCAATCTGGTCTGTAACAAGCACATTTTGGAGTAAGTGATCACAAGTAGCAGTCAGACCAGTTACATTACAGCAATAAACATCCACAGAGAACACAGGCACCACACGTTCAGCTACACTGAGATGGTTATAGTTCAGACATGCGTGCGCCTGTTTTCAGCAGCGTTAAGTACACTTTTTTCCTTGTTCCTTCTCAACGCCACTAGCTGAGAGGACACTATCCTACACACACTAGATCTCACAAAGCTGCTCTTTCAATCTAAAATTTGTAGTGCATTTAAGATGGGAGATTCATCTCTTTGTCCACTATGCACAGCACTCTGGAAAGGCTTACTAAGTTGCCTGGATACATTAGCTCCAGCAGTGCCAGGCTTTGACCAGGAAACCCACACAATCAGGACCGATGGGCTGGGGCGGGTAGCATCCACATGGCAGACTGGCACCTGTGCCACAGGTTAGAGCAAGCTTGTGCAGGCCAGGTAGCAGCTTCCCCAAAGACAGGGTACTGACAAAGCAGACAACTGTCCCCAGGCTTGTAGCCACCGAGGGGCTGAGCCTCCTCATCAGAGGGAGATCCAAGCCTGGCTCTGCCAGGACTCACCTCCGTGGGATGCGCAGGAACTGCCGGTTCTCCTCATGCAGCTGCTGGACATGCTGGGCCTCCTGGGCTGTGAGAAGGCCAGTGCGGCTCTGGGCTGACACGATCTGGATATTCAGACGCTCTGCAGGAGAGCCGAGATAGTCATCTAAAGCCAGCTGTCCCTCTCCCTGCTGTCACCAGTCCTGCTGGCCTCTGCCACCCCACCCCGTCCTGTCCCATGCCTGCAGACCCCCAGCCCTGGCTCAGGACACCATCCCCTCTCCCCTGCTCCCTCGCCTGACTAACCCCATTGCCAGCCCCAGACCTATCCCC